CGTGTGCTCTTCCGATCTGTCGCAAACCATCAAAGGAATACCCAGGAGGGAAGTCACCATAGGTCATCGGGGATTTCAACGCAAAAATTGGGAGAACCGAAGACGACGACCATCTACGACGCATAGTGAGGAAATACGGACTGGGCGAGAGAAACGAGAGGGGCGATCGCTTATTACAATTCTGTGATGGAGAGAGCCTTACCCTCGCGAACACTTGCTTTGACCACCACAAACGGCGCCTATACACATAGGTATCTCCAGGAGACAGATGCAGGAATCAGATAGATTACATACTGATTCAAACGCGTTGGAGGTCATCCGTGCTGAATGCGAAAACGTACCCGGGTGCGGACTGCGGAAGCGGATCATCAACTGCTCGTGGCCACGTTGCGAATTAATTTAAAGAAAATGCGCAAGCCAGAAGTCACACCAAATCTGATGAGAGTGGACGTGGATGGCTTCAGACGAGATATAGAACACGAGTTAGAAAAAGTGTCACAACGCGGTGACAAGCGTAGCAACTCCTTATGGGAAGCACTCAAGGAAGCAATGACGCATACAGCCAAACAGAACATGCTTCCTCGAGTAAGCAGGAAGAACTTCATCACGCCAGGGACGGATGATGTCATCCTCAAGAGACGGGAACTAAAAAGGAAGGGACTAAGCTCAGAGAACGAGCATGAGCAATACTCACGGTTGAACCGTGAAGTGCAGAGACGATGCCGAAGTGACAAAAACGCATATATTAACGACATATGCGCCGAACTGGAACGTCACTCAGTTAAAGGCGAAATCAAGTCTCTCTTCTGCAAAGTTAGAGAACTAACGAGGCAACGAAGTCCCAGGACCTGGGTCATTGAGGATGACAGCGGACGAGCAATCAGCGAGGTGGAGGAGATCCTGGAGCGGTGGAGACTGATGTGACTGTACGACTCAGAAGTACGCTCTCACAAAACACAGTGGAATCAGGTCGAACAAGAACCGATCATCCTCAGGGCAGAAATTGAGCAGGCAATCAACGCCTTGAAAAAACGGCAAGACGCCAGGAGTAGACGGAATCCCAGCGGAACTAATAAAAATCTCTGGGCCAAAGGGGACCGATATAATTGCTAACATCTGCAATATAATATGGAGAACAGGACAATGGCCGAAAGACTGGACAGAATCAGTCATAATGCCGCTACATAAAAAAGGATCCACAACGAAGTGTAGCAACTATAAGACTATAACTCTCATGGCACACGCAAGCAAGATACTACTGCACGTGTTGAATCAGCGACTTAAGAACTTTCTCAATCATCAAATTCCTGAAGAACAGGCGGGATTTGTGAAAGGCAAAGGTACAAGGGAACAAATCCTCAATGTACGTCAGATTATTGAGAAGAGCCGGGAGTTCAACAAACCGGTCGTGCTATGTTTCGTCGACTACGCATTTGACTGTGTGAGTTGGGAGAAGCTGTGGAAGGTCCTAAAAGAAATGGGAGTTCCGGAAAATACTTAATAATAATTATAATAAAAGATCAGGTACTTACTGTACAGCAGACTGTAATAAAAATAACGCAAGTGAGAAGTCGAAATCGTCGGAATAAATAATAAAATTGTTTGGAGAGTTAAATATTGTAAAGTCGAATTTTATAAAGTTTTAACTTTCCATTCAATACAAAACAGCGGCCGCGAACAACATAGCAGTATGGTAGGGATATTTTGTAAATTTGGCTGTTTTGTAAGAGTCGCACGTTGAGAGTCGACAGATTTTTCCCACATTAGGAACTAAAAAATTTTTTTTTTCGAAAACGAGGCAAAACACGTTCTTGAATTTTTTTCTAAGATGTAGGAAAACTGAAAGTATATAAAAAATATTTTTTCAGATTTTTCGACTCTCTCCCCGATTATTAAAAAAATTGTTGAAAAGTTTATTGTTAAATAAACAATGGAAAACAAAACATTTTTGGAATCTTCATTTTTTTCTCGTAAACTAGAACATTTTTCGCGTATTTTGAAAAAAAGCAGTTAGCTAGCA